GTCTGTTCCACAATCTGCTCCTGGCCTAGTTTTCACAGCTGATATTGAGCTTCTCCAGCGGTAGACATGTATGTTTGATAAAAATCTTAGTTAAAAATACTTCTGCACTTGGAATTCATCTTATCTTGGGAGGGAAACAACTTGGATAAAAACTGAATTTAAAATACATTTTCTTCATCTTTTATTTTTAAAAATCAGAATCTTAACTCTGTAATAGGCCCTCTCATGTCATTTTTAACCATCACAAAATATTTCACAAAACTTTGGAAAGACCAGACCATCTTTACTTTTTCATTTTATGCTGTTAAGAAACATGATTATGATGGCATGACAGGTTCCCAAATAGCATGAATAATGCAGTCCCCCTTTATTGAAAGCAAATGCATTTTACTCCTAAGAGATGTTTAATCCATTCTTTTAGGGGGACAAGAAAAAGGAGAATGAAAGGATTTGGAGTTAGAATTGGCATTTAATGAAAGACACGTATTCAACTTAAAATAATAAAATAATTGCTGGATGAATTTTTAGTTTAGACAGAGGTAGTGAATTTTGATGTAAATGAAAAGCAAATTACATTTATGTTAACACTCAGGGTTAACTCTTTGGGACAGAATTAGTAAAAATTACTTTTAATTGTGTTGTAAAAATGGAAGAGCCCATGTTTGAAAACACCTTATTAGGAGCCTTCTAGATACATGTGCATAAATATTTAATTTAGAAAGCACCAAATCTACATTTGCAGAGTAAATTCCAAAGAACAGATTAAAGTTTCCATACATGGGGATAGAAAAGCTTATGAGGCCTTTCCTCAAGAAAGTGCTAACAGGAATAGTGGAATTAAACCAACATCATTGAGAACAAGGCTTGGAGAAGATGTGGGGAAACTTCGACCGCATGAAAATGTCAGCATCCTTGGACTTGCTCACTCCACAGTGTGTGGGGAGGGTGTCAGGAAAATGGCCGTAGGTCTGCATACTGAGGAGACTATTGTTGTTAAGTTCCATCCAATCAGGTGGGAAGAAACTGCCCATTCAAACATCACACCTTCTTAGGCAGTTCCTTAGTAGGCTAGGAGAGCTCCTGAAGGAGACTCTGAGTCCTGAAAAAGCCAACATCTCTTTGACACATTATTTTCCTTTCTGTGCTTTCCCCTGGACTCATCTTTCCTTACTACCAACGTGGCATTCAGGATCTAGCAAGTTGGAGTTGACAAATGATCACAGTGAAGGGGACAAAATAAAAAAGCGTTAAGCTTGCATCTAGCTCTTTAAAAGGGGGGAAGGGGGACCCAACAACTTTTTATTGTAATTTGGGTGAAAATTTACAGAACAAATTTGTTCTCCATTCAACAATTTATGTACATTTTATTTTGTGGCATTGGTCCATTTGTTGCAATTACCTCATGTAAAAGCACTGTTGCCACTTTCTCCCCAGGTTCCTTGTTTCCGTCTGAGTTTCTTTCCTGCCTTCTCAGCTTTGATTTTGGGCAAATGCTGTTCTTTTGGTCTTCGGTGGTTGGCTGTTCTGTTATCACCTTCTTCACATGTGTTACCATATACTTTGTAGGTCTGCCTATTGTTTGGCTGAGAATTAATTCATGGGATTTAACTGCAGGAATGCTCCTCAGAGTCCTGGAAACCAAATGAATGGTCCCCATAAGTTAGAATTGATAGGATGACAGTTGTCTTTTTTCCTCCTCTTTTTTTTTCCAATTTAAGTGACTTTTTGATCAAAATTCTAGGAGATTCCCTTCTTTTTTGCCAAACTATCAATTAATTTTTAAGGTTAAGTTAGACAACAAATAAAGAGTTCAGAACATCAAGAGGGTTCTGTCAGGAAGCATTTTCTAAGATATTATCTAAATATCCCTTTAAGATAACAAACCCCCAAATCAAACCCATTGCCACCAAGTGCATTCTGACTCACTGAAACTCTATAGGACCCAGTGGAACTGCCTCCAGGGTTTCGAAGATCGCAAATCTTCATGGGAGCAGACTGCCTTCCTTTCTCTGATAAAGTAGCTAGTGGGTTTGTAACACTAATCCTAGGTTCACTGCCCAACGTTGAACCCTTTCCACCAGCTGGTGGAGAACAAACATGTTTGTCCTATTGAGGGTGAGACCAAGTTACTACATAGAGGCAAGGATTTTGAAGCTCCATCTCATGTACTTGGAGCATACTGATAGGGGGGACCTGTCCCTGGAGAAGGACATCATGCTTGGAAGGATGGAGGGTCAGTGCAAGAGAAGAAGAACCCAGATGAGACAGATTGACTCTGTAACTGTGACAATGGGGGCAAGTGGATTTGAGATAGTGAGATTGGCTCAGAATAGGACAGGATTCAGAGCGAGAATTCATAGGGTCACTGTGAGTCTTAGTGAACTCGATGGCACATAACTGTTACAACAAACAACTCTAAGAACGCTCTGGTAAGGAGCTGCACCACTGACCCGAATGTACATTTCAAATTCACCAGCTGTTCTGAGGGAGGAAGATGGGCAACTCCTGTGCATTTTACTGCCTCAGAAAACCCACTGGGAGATCAGCTATGAGATGGTTCTGGCTTGACAGTACATAACAATAACAATTTTAAGAAAAAGTCTGGCTCTCAAATATGTGTTAAATCTAGTTTGGAATGCTAGGCAACTCACAAGAGGAAACCTTTGCTAGTAACTGGTGCTTGAGTTTTAAAGTGTACTTGTGTGTGTGCACGCGCACACACATATACGTGAGCATGTATGTACACAAATGTGTGCACATGCATGAGTTCACTATCATGGGACGTGGCACGCACACTGTAAAGACTCTCCTTTGCAGGAGGGCACTTCTGAGCTCTGACTAATGTAAAGGAGCCAAGAACAAGTTGATGTTTTCTTGAACTTCCTACTTAAGGTATTTCCTTATTGCTGACAAAGTAAAGAAAGCCACTTAGTCAACTACAACTGTTTTTCTAAACGTGATCAGCAGTAAGAATGATGTTTTTACAGGGTGGAATGCAGGAAATCTCTCCACTGGCTGATGCCATCTAATTACTGAATTCAAATGACTTTTGAATCTTCAAAGCACCAAACAAGGGTGTCTAATATATTCATTATATGCTTACTTTTAAGTCATATACTTCCATCATAAATATAAACCTTCAGAATAAAAGGAAAACTAACCATATGTAGCTCCTGTATAAATAAGTGATAGTCATGAAGAGAGTTGCTTAGAAACTTGGTTCAAATGAATGGTTTCTTTTCTCACAGATGGGTATTCTAAACAACACAATTTGATGCTGGCAGTGTTACTTCCTCTCTCCTGAGTTGCTGAGGCTACTGTACTTTGAAATCCAGTGGCTAATGATCATCTGTATACAGTGTACTGGTGTAAAGCATATAGCTACACTGATTGCTCATTTTTTATTACTATTTAAACATATGAAACTTAGAACACATAAGTACAGTTGTTTCCACATGATTTAGAGAATTACCTACTACAGAAAAAAGTTCAAGAAATATTTTTCTGCTCTTTTTTTAGCATTTGTATGTTTTTTAGACATTTTCAAATTCAAAGCGGCTAAATGGTGAAGTTTTAAGGTAGGAACATTTTATTTCTCCAAAATGTTTTGTTGGCAAAACATACACATTGATATTAGAAGAATCTTAAGCTTCCCGAGAAAACAAAGTCCCAGCATTTCCATTGGAAGTAAATTCAGTTTCAAAGAGATGAGAAAGGAGCAATATTTTATTCAGCCCACACATGACCTGTAACAGCAATTCTGAACCCCTTTGTTCTGCCTCAGTAAAGAAACAGATGTTGCCGTGGAAGCCATCCTCCAAAGGAAGAGGTGAGAGTAAGGAAATAACTGAGAGTTGATGTAAATTCAAGTAATGTTACAAAGGATTTGCACACAAGATGAATTCTCACAAGTCAGTAAGCTTTTCCAAAGCCTTGCTCTTATGGAAATGCGCTTTTTTGCTGTTGTTGGGGTTTTTTTTTTTTTTTGTTTTTTGTTTTTGACAAGTTGTGTGGAGTGCATTTTAAGCTCTACGAAACAACATGGTTCTTATCACCCAGTTGGAATTATTTAGGATCACCAAATAACAGGGTTCAAAAATAAAACAGCTGAAAAATCCAACAGTCTGGTCTAACCTGGGATGCTCTGTCTCCTCACAGCCAATGCTCCATCAGGCGGCTTTGTCTGGCTGGCGGACTTAGTGTAGGGACTCTCATCTGCAAAGGTACAATGAAGGGTTTAGTTAATTTCCATCTGGTTTCTAGCGCAGAGAAGGCTTTTAATGGACCGCAATCCTTTTGCCAGAAAGATACAGTAGAAAGAATTGGTAGGCTTGCACCCTAAGCTTGGTTTAGTTGTGGGAGAAGTCACTTAAAACGTTGTGAACATCCACCCACAAAAGGGGATATATTTTCTCCTCAACCTTTTAGGGTCGTCAGGATCAAAAGCAATTGTGTGTGTTAAAATATTTCTGAAATGGTAAGAAGTATTCAAATTATTTGCCTGTCTCCTATATTCATTCGATAAGAATCGGTGAACACAGGTACAGGAAGATAAAGAAGGAATCAAATGGCTCCATAGGCACCGGGAACAATCAAGTGGAAGAACAAAAGAAATGGAAGGGATGTTAGAATTGCAGAGGAAAAGATGACAAAGCATTAGTATCAACTGCAGGGGAATAAAGACATACAGAGTTAGTGGGTTTGTCTAGGGTATGTAAGCAAAATGGACAGACAGGCACATTCAGAAGTAAGACTAGAGAAGCTGTGTTAATGAAAGAAAAGACAAGATATTGGGGGTAAGAAATATATTGCAGTTAGCTGATTAGACCTCTTTTAGAAAGAGAAGAAAATAATCTGCAGAACCATAAAAAGGAGCAACTGAAAAGATAGGAGGAAAGCTTAGCATTTCTGTCAAGAGTTAAGCAAGAAATCGAATGATCAAGACATCAGTTAGAAAGATTATAGAGGTGACAGAGCCATCAGATTCTTACTAAGGTAATTATGACAATGTTGTAATCTAGCAAAAGATTTAGTCTTGCTTGGGATACAGGCATAATCTTGCATGACAAGTATTTGAGATAAATTAGAAAGGAAGAATTATACCTAGTGAGGATGTGGGAAGGGTGTCTGTATAAAGAAAAGGAGATGTCTGAGTAGCAATCTTTAAAATGTACAAGAATAGGATGTATAAGGTTTGGGGGGGAAAAAAACCAACCCAACAAACCAAACCACTATAATATGACATTACCTAGCTTATCCAGTGGAACTGGATGACCCAAATGTTCTTCTGGCCACAATGAGATACTGTTTGCTTGTTTTTAAAATAAGAAGTCTTTAAAGAATTAGAAAGAACTGTATTGTGCTTGGCAAACTATTAAATACAGCAGGATTTGATTTAGCAGCAAGGCTTTATCATTTGAAAACATCAATTCCCCCAACTAAGTGGTTTGTTTTCAAAATTGAGGAACTAGATTCCTCTCAATATGCACTTCTGGTTGAAATGATTCACGATTTCTTCATAAAACTAACAAGGTCTTTATAAGCAGTGACAAAAGGAAAAGATTAACATTGCTGTAAGCTGCAATTAACTTAAAAAATGGAAGTCACACTGTTTCATGTTTATATTCTATTTGTCACACAACTCTTTATATTCTTCCAACCATAAAGACAGACTGCTCGCTTTCAGATACCAATGCAACCAAGGGAATAATTTCTGCTCACGGAACAGTAGTTTTTGTCTTCAACGCTTCTCTTTTTAGACACCATTTCTAATATAGTCACAGACTACACAACAAGGTGTAAGTATTACAGCATAAAAACTCTCTATCTGTTTCACTTCACCACCTGATACTTGGGTATTTTTTCCTCTCAATAGTGACAATAGTGACAAAAGTGACAATAGTAAGACAAAACACTTTGCTGTTGTTGTTACTGTTGTTGCTGTTGTTATGTGCCATCGAGTCACTTGTGATTCATAGTGACCCTATATACAAGAGCCCTAAACCCTGCTCTATCCTGTGCCAACTTCATTGTCTCCTACACACCTACTCCCACGACCCCAATCAATGAATCAATTCATCTCATTGAAGGTCTTCCTCTCTTGCACTGTCTCTCCACTCTCCCAAACATGATGTCCCTCTCCAAGGACTGGTCCCTCCTTGCAACATGGCCAAAGTATGCCAGACGAAGCTTCAGAATCCTTGAGTCCAAAGAGCAGCCTGGTCTCACCCTCTCTAGGACGAACTTGTTTGTTCTCCTAGCAGTCCATGGCATGCATATTCAACACTCTTTGCCAGCACCACAGCTCAAAGGCATCAACTCTTTCTATCATCCTTAGTCACTGTCCAGCTCTCTAATGCATAGCACATAATTGTGAAGACTATAGCCTGGATCAGGTGTACATTTAGGGGGAAAAAGAATAATCCAAACTGCAGACCCACTGCCATCAAGTCAATTTTGACTGACAGAGATGGTACAGGACAGAAGAGAATTGCTCCTAAGGTTTTTAATACCTAACATCCTTACAGAAGTAGACTGCAACATCTTTTTTCTGTGGTGGGTTCATATTGTCAACCTTTCAGCCACCCAGCAATTAATCCATTATGCCACCAGGGATCCCTCTTATCAGATCTGTTAAAATAAAACTACATACAACATGTTAACATCTAGGATTCTCTATTATATTGATTTTAACATAGATTTCCTTTCATTACCTTCAACTCTGACACTGCATTTGTGGGCACAAAACACTTCATGAGCAGAGACACATCCCAAAAACTCAGTTTAGAAACAACATTTTTGAAAGCCCAAAGACTTTCCTGAGTTTCAATTTGTCAAGTCTTCCATTAAATTCAGAGCTGATTTTCTTAAAAGGCTACATGGAATTTTGTCCAAGGAGCGTGGGGTTCTTTCTACTTGATGCTATATTTTAAGGAACCATTTTCAAAGAAATTTATCCAGTTTGCATTACAGAAGTAGTCAACCCTGGTAAAATTGTTTCCTCATGTATATTTGAAAACAATTTCCTTGATTTAGAGCTGAGACAGTCTGGTTATACACATCCTTAAAAGGTTGAAACTGAATTATAGATGGCCACCTGGCCAGCCTCTTCATCCCCAGCTCCCTGCTCCAAGACTGTCCTTACTGAGCAGAAGCTAAAGTAAACAATAACCTTGAAGCTCAAAGTTGAATTGGTCAAAGGACCAGACAGAAATAGGTTCAATATTATCTAAGAATAGCTGCCAAAGTTAATCAGGTTAAAAACAATAATTCCTAATGGGAGCAAGGCAGAATCTTGGCAACGTTTATCATCAGAGCGAAGGGCAGGGTTACAACAAAGCAGCATAGATCAATTTACCACTTGAGTTTTAAAGAGACATTCCCTGAAAACATCTCTTTATTTTACATATCCAAGATATTGTGGGTCTTCTATAAAGGGCTTCCCATCACTGAGTGGATAGTAGCTCTTTTGATGTGATTTACGGAAAACCAATTCTTGGTTCAAACTTTTAGAAATAGAATTGGAACTGAGACACTGAATAAATCAGTGGCCAGTGCTCCATAGTAGGATATTAAAGGGCAAAGACAAGGTCTAGGATGTATTTTAAATCCTTGAGCGTAAATTCATACAGATCCCTGGAGATTTCTATCATGATGTTCCTTAATGTCAGCTTCGCAGATTTGTAGATATATCTCTAGAATTTCATGATTATAAGGGAGGGCTTGGAACAATCTTTCATTTTATAGCCAGTACTGAGGTCTGGAAGTAAAACATCTAAACTAAATCTAAAACCTGAATTTCCTTTATTCTTATTTTTATGCTCTTTAAATCTTTTTATTATTTGTTCTTTGGTGGAAAATTAAATTGGGAAGTTCATCAAATTCCATGGGAAATTCAGTATGACAGAGGTGAGAAATTAGGCACCCTACACCAGTAGAAACTTCACTCATTCATTTATTCATTAAATCACTCATTGCTGTTGAGTTGGAAGTGACTCAGAGCTGACCCTCTAGTGGCTTTTTGGAGACAATAAATCACACAGGATGGGATTGCTCATCTGTCTTCCAAAGAATGGCTGGTGGATTCAAACCACCAGAGAGGTATCACTTTTCTTTATTATGGAGAAGTCTATGAGAATGGAAACTCATGGTCAATTTTCTTGGTGTCTATATCAGTTTCAATTCTCATCCCAAGCCCTGCATATTTGGCTGTGTAAAAGTAAGTATACCAAACTTTACTATAAAATCAGCTTATACTTTTTCAGTTTACTTTTAGAGTGCAAAATATTATTCTTTCTCACATTGTCCCAGTGTGGATCCCCAAATGTTCACTGAATCATAAGAATTATGTTAATATTTTTCCTTTGTCTAATCAGGGAGACATCCATTAGACTTTCAAATTAAATCCAGTTACATGAATGAATAAATAATGTTCAATAATAAGGAAAGGAATAAACTAATATATAATACAAAACACAGTACAATATAAAAAATATTACACATAATAGGCATTTATTAACTACATGTGGATGAACAAACTACATGCAGCTTTTCAATCTAGAACATGTAAAGAAGTAGTTTGTGAACATTCGCTGTGACCTGCCATTCCCTCTACCTCTGATTTACACCCCCTAGATTTATAGCCTATTCCTCCTAAAGTCAAATTGTCAACCAACACAGAATGTCCGTATGTTAAAAATCAGCAATTCTTTCCAGATTTCTGGAGCTATCACGGCTGAATGTGTCTGCGAAGTATTGAGTGAAAATAATCTTAAAACTTGAAATCTTAAGCTTAAACTATCCTCTGAAGCCTGCTTTTGAGTCCTGTGCTCTTTTAAAAATTTATCTCTGTGAGATGAAATCAACAGTGGCATCTGAAAAGGTTGGACGGGCTGCTTAGGGGGGCAGTGAATATAAGACGAGGATGGTGAAGAGCAGAGTGGCAAGAAGCAATCCTGAAGGTGTGTGGTTCAAATCCACCAGATGCTCCACCGGAGAAGGAGGGGCAATCTCCTCCTGTGCCAGTTGGATCTGATTCACACGTAGCAAGGAGAGCAGCAGATGGTGAAGAATGTAACCAGGGTCACTAACTGTACATGAAGTCACTGAGATGGCAGGTCTCTGGCTGTGCATATTTTCACCAAAATAATGAAACGTAAGACAAAATCACAATATAAATATGCAATTCTTCATAAAACTAATGTTAAC